CAATGCGGATATCACGGACGGCAACGAGAACACGAGCTCCAATGAGAAGGGGATGCAACGGGAGCCAGGACGCTAATGAGCACACTGGTGCCAGCAGGAGGACGGGCCGCTACGAGAACAATAACGGCAACGTGAACACGAGCGCCAAAGATAACACGGGTTGCAACACAGACGCCGGCAAGAACACGGGCCACAACGAGATCACGAGCGCCAGCGAGGGGGAGGACTCCAATAAGAACACGAGCGTCAACAAGATCACGGCGCCAAGGGGAACACGGGCACCAGAGTGGGCCCTGTGCTACAGAGAACACGGATGTCACGAAGAGCACGGGAGCCAACGGGAGCGTGAACGCCAACGAGAACACGGCGACACAGCGGACACGAGCGACACAGAGAACACGGGCGACACAGAGAACCCGGCAACCTCGGGGAACACGGACGCAAACGGGGGCACGGACGCCAGCGAGATCACGAGCGCCAATGAGAACATCGACACCAGCAAGAACGCTGTACCACAGAGATCACGGACACCACAAAGAACACGGAAGCCAACAGGAGCACAGACGCCAGCGAAAACACGGGTGCCAACGAGAGCACGAACTTCTGCGAGTACTTGAGCGCCAAAGACAATACCAGCGCCAATGAGATCACGGCGAGGACACGGACCACAGTGAGAACACGAGCGTGAGAGAAAGAACGTCAACGAGAACTAAGAACTCGGGAGGCAACGAGAAAAAAGCGCCATAGAGATCACAGGTACCAACGAGAACACACGCAGGCGCCAACAAGACCTTGAGTACCACGAAGAGCACGAGATGTAAGAGAGTGTTCTTAACAAGCTAGCACGTACCAGTACGGGCTGGCTCTGGCGGGGGGATTTTAGTTGTGAAAGGTCAGTTTTACGGTCACTGAAATTAAGTATGCAATACAACAACCAATATTTTCTGAATAGGCGCCTTAACCAAAAGGCGAATCGGCTACCGCTTCGCCAAAAAACCCTCGCCTAAACCCGTTTAGGCGCCTTTTGAAACGACGGTAAAGGCGGGCCGTGCCACCACTGATGGTAGCGCTGGCGTGGGGAGCGATAGGAGTGGAGGAAAGTGCGCGTCCGAGTTGTGTGTTTTAAGTCGATTTGGCGTGGTATCTTGCCCGAGTGGTCTAAGGGGGCGGACTTAAGATC